AACCCTAAGCTTAAACCCTGAACCCTAAACCCAAAGCTCAAAACCCTAAACTGAAACCCTAAACCCTAAACCCCTTACCCAAAACCCTAAACCCAAAACTCAAAACCCAAAACTGAAACCCTAAATTACTTACCTTAAACCCCGGCGAAAGTCCGGTGAGAAGGTCCTTGTCTGGGTCCTCGGCGTTCGCCCGTCGCTGCTGCCGTGCCTCGGCGTCACAGAGCCCGCAGGCGGCGACCTGCCGAGCGTGTAAACAAGATCAAGGTTTGGGGTTTAGGGTTTAGGGTTTGGGATTTGGGGTTTAGGGTTTAGGGTTTAGGGTTTGGGATTTGGGATTTGGGGTTTAGGGTTTGGGGTCTAGGGTTTGGGGTTTGGGGTTTGGGGTTTAGGATTTGAGATTTGGGGTTTGGGATTTGGGGTTTGGGGTTTAGGGTTTGGGGTTTAGGGTTTGGTGTTTAGGGTTTGGGGTTTGGGGTTTAGCGTTTGGATGGTGAGGATGCTGCTGCTGCTGATGATGATCATCATGACGATGATGATGGTTAAGAGGAAGAGGATGTTGTTGTTGTTGTTGTTGCTGGTGATACGGAGGAGGCGGCGGCAGGGCAGGAGGAGGAGGGGGAGGTGGTGTTTGTGATTGTTGTTCATGATAACGATGATGATGGTGATGGTGATGATGATGATGGCATGAATGGCATGGTTGCTGCCGTTTGCAGCAATGTTGATGCGACTATTAAGTGATTGTTTGTTGCTAGCAGAAGTCGACCAGCAGCAGTAGTCGTCGTCGCAGAAGCAGCAGCAGTAGTAGCAGCAGCAGCACCAGAAGGAAATCGCTGCGCGGCCGCAATGCCGCGTCTTGAAATGTGGCACGCAACCAGGACAATTCCGCACGAAGCGTCCGGGCGTGTCGTGGCAGGTCCAGACATGGGGTTTGCTAAGGGGGGAACTAGAGGCATAGTGTGTCAGTGTTATACGGCGGTGCTCCACACGCAAATGCTTTTGGGGCTCGCAGCTCTGATCAGGATCTTGCTATCATCGGATGGCTACATGGTCCAGAACAACACCTCTGGTTAGTATGTATATCGGCAATTCTCTCATTGTTACTACTACTGCTGCGACTACTGCTACTACGAGGACGACTACTACTGCGACACCACTTCGGCAGTTCATTTCGCCACGGTGTCTATGGACGAGGGCTGCCATCCAATGACTCGCTGAACCGTCAACAGTTGATTGTCTTTCTGATCTTGCTGATACACCTAAATCTAGCTGAATCTAGCTTCGCGTGATCCAGCTCCTGCAGGGTTAAGCCCCCTGTCCCAGTTTGCCGAAGGCCTCTGCACGGCGCGGCACCGGCTCAGCGTATCGATAGCGAAACAAGACCTGCTGCTCAGACATGACAATGCTCACGCGGAACATCTGCTCTTGAGAGAAGTTCAAAAGCTGGCCTGCATTAGAAGTGTGAAGGTCTCCTTGAACTCCATGATTTTCTCCTGCAAGAACTGCTTCGAATCGGACGCTGCACCCTCGGCACGGAGTGCAAGTTGGGCGTTGCACTGGCAACGAAGACATCTTGCACTGGCAGTTACGAGCTCGTGGATGTTTTTGTCAATGGACACAAGTCCTTGGATTTAGCCACCATGAGATGCTCCAAGTAGGCCTGTCCAACACGTCAAGGGTTTTTTTGCTGAACGGCGCTGTCAGGTACTGTAGCTGAGAGGCCCTTGCAACCAGAGTGACTATTGATATGTGGCTTGTCTCCAGCATGATGACGTAAACAGCGGGGCCATTACATCTACAGCCTGTTAAAAGCCCAGCCGTAACGTGCTCACTGTCAAAGACTCGTTCGTCATGCCACGAACAGACTTCATAATGCAGTGGGCGTGACCATGACGACCACCACCAAGATGGCTAACGGTAACAGCAGCATCATCACCGCTCACTGGAAAATTCTCATGTTGCTGTCACAGTCACCATGGTCCTGATCATCTTGTCCTTCCTCATCGTCGTCATCATCATCAGCATCATCATCAACAACATCATCATGCTCTTCTTCAGTTGTGGTGCCGTCTCGCAATGTCTTCGTTGTCATTGCTGCTGCTGCTGCTGCTGCTGCTGCTGCTGCTGCTGCTGCTGCTGCTGCTGCTGCTGCTGCTGCTGCTGCTGCTGCTGCTGCTGCTGCTGCAACTATATCCCCGGACACTATCACCCATCATGTAAGGGCCTAAATAATTACCTATGCTATTTTGGGGGTTCCTTATTACAATACTAGTATAATGGGCCCCCAAACCCTATTCTATGCATCAAGGCCCCTAGTGTAGGACCCTATCATGGATCCCTTATAGAACCCTTTAAGGATCCCCTTAAAAGGAACCCTATAAGCCCCTATACTACCCATGAGAACCGGATAAAACAAATCCGCGGCCTCCAGCCCCAGAACTCTAGTGGAGCGAACGCCCTGAGCAGCATCCGGCAGATGAAAAAACCTCAGCTTGGGGTTCAGGGGCTTAAGGTTTAGGGTTTAGGGCTTAGGGGCTTCAGGTTTAGGGTTTAGGAGCTTCAGGTTTAGGGTTTAGGGCGTTTTGGTTTAGGGTTTTCAGGGTTTAGGGTTTGGGGTTTGGGGTCAGTTTAGGGGGTTTGGGCAGCAGGTCCTTTCACAAGAAGGTGACTCAAGCGCGCTGCTTGAAGCTGATTGTCTGGCCCCAACGCCCAACACCCAAACCCTAAACTGCCCTCAAACCTAAACGTAGTGTCCGGATGTGTGCAAGGCTCATTCGGCTGGCTTTCCAGTGGATGTGCTCAGGAACCATGGCCTCAGCTTGTCGTGCCAAGGAAGGCCGCAGGGAAGCCCTGATGAATGCAGACTTTTAGTTCTGCATATAGTCTCCATTGTAGTTCCTTTTTTGGTGGATACCTTATATATAACCCTTAATATATATATATATATATAT